AATAAGCAGACTCTCAAAGCAAATCCATATGGAATCTTAAGACTTTTTTCCATAACAAGAAGACAAAGCTCTACAAATTATCAGTCAATCCTACGCGTCCTTCAGCTGTTACGGTTTTCATTGATATGCTAATCTCGTTTATTTAGCAGCTTTGGCATGCAAATCAACACAACAAATTACGCTTTTGCAGCTGTTTTACTTGTCTTTGTGTAATGTGGGACAATTTCGCTTCTACCATAAAATCCAATTGTTATTAAAACCAATCTGAGGAACTCAAGAATCTGGAAATGACGGTTAATTTACAAATATAAAAGTACTCCCTCGTGGGCAGTTGAAAGGACATATAGGATAAAGCTAACTGAATCAAATCTATTGATTTTGCTGCTTCTTCCTTCATACTTTTGCGTTTGATATTAAAAAACTGAAGAAAGTAAAAAATAAAGAACATTTATGATATTTCTACTAGTGTTCTTATTGGCCGAGTGCTTTAATGGCAAGCTAAAATTTTCCATCAGAATTTTGAAAATGTTTACATCTTTATAAATAACACAATAACGTATACATTAATTTGGTGTTTTGTGACTTTACAGCATTTTTTTGTACTTGAGTTCCTCTCATTTAAAAAGCTAAAATCCTTTGTTTTCCTACAAATAATGTATTTTTCACAGTGATTCGTAAATGTCTGGATGTTTCAAAGGAGGTTTGAGTTATTAGAATCTTAAATATTGTCTTTAAACTATGCAGGAACAGATATTGGCCAAATAAAATAATATTTATGGTTCCAGTTTCCGTACCTACACTTACTTTGATCCATAAACATAAACCTTTTTGTTTGTGCCATTTTTAATTCAGCACTGATTAGGTCACAATGGGTCATCTGCATATTCTATATACAAAAAAATTATCAAAATTAAAAAAATTATACCCTACCTTCCCTATTTTTTTCAACAATTTAACCGGACTCACTCATGTTTTTTTTTTATTTTGCTTTATCATAATATCAAATATAAAATCAACAACCTTAAGAAAGAAGCGATAACATATATAAAACGGGGCGTACCTCAGTGTTTATGCATTTCCCTAACTTTTATTCAAAAGTTACTTACTGCTGGTGGACTGTTAGTCCCTGAGGGGTATCAATTTCCCCGTTCACAAAATGAGAAATTATTTTAAAGAAACTAAGGTCCCAACTCCATCAGGCAAAGTTGATCGCAAATGAATTTGGCTATACTTTTTATGTCCTTTTGGTCGCATGGCTCTTAAAGTTTCGACGTATTTATACATCCCTGGCTTTCAAAGGATCGATATGGTTCGAGCGTTCTGGACGAAAAAAGATGTTATTTTGATTTACATTCTGCCTATTTGTATGTGTTAACAAGAAATTTGTTTTGCATGCACACGTATAAAAATTGCGGTTTTTATCCAACGCAATCATAGGTTTAGACTTGTTTATATTTTTTCGTTTGGACTTGTATTATTTTTGCCTTCGGGTTTATATGATCCGTTCATCCTATTTTGACTCTTGAAAATTCAAGAGTCTATCCTAAATTGAGGTAAATTGTATGGCTTTCCAAATACCGTTTCGATTTCAAACATCACTGAAGAGACATTTTTAATTGTCGAAATCCGGATATGGTGTACAAAAACCTTTGCCCCTTTTGTTTGCGGTATACCATCTTTTCCGCAAGTTTATTGTTTTCTGTTTAGTATTAAATTTATAATTAAGATCCATTTATTACACCTTGTGATCCGTTTATTTGGCAATCGCCAATGGCAGTCAGCAGGGTTTAAGAACATTTGTTGTTCGACCTGTTAGTCAAATGCGTTTTGTTAAAATATACTTTTTCACTTTTTTGGTCTTTTGGAAAGTGTTGTTTGTGCTGTATTTAGACCCCTCTAACAAGACATTTGTTTTGCATGCACAGTATAAAAATTGCGGTTTTTAACCAACGAAATCATAGGTTTGAACGTTGTTTTCAATTTAGACTTGTTTATTAAAATAGTATATAATTATACTGGTTGGAAAGGTGTTCCAACTTCAAAGAAGAAGAACAATCTATGATCCAATGATTACCTAACCTATGGAAGTATTATATTGTCTTCTATATTACTTCCAACGCCGAACTCACCTATGTCCAGTATGGCCAAGTAGATATATACTTTAAACAACTCGGACATAATCACTGTTAAACGTTTCACGGTAGGACACATTGTCGAATGTGATTTCAGTGTTTCTTGTATAATTCCCTTTTATGTCCATCAAGCTATATGATCATTGTGGTCAATGACTTGAGAGTAATAAAATGATAGACCAAAATGTACACGACAAAAAATGTTGTCCAGACAGTAATTATGGGGAGCTTGTTTGTTCTACACAATCAGTGATTTTTGCTTTGAACTTATAAAGTTCAGAAAGGTTATGCATTATATTTTACTTGTTTGGAAATGCAAGCCTCATATGAAATAAGGAATAACTATGAACATTAGTTGTCGTATTAATATGAATTACATGAAATATGGAATATACTTTTGTCTTTCTATTCTGGTATTAATCAGAAGCTGTTTACTTTACTCTAGAAGGAATTTATGACGACTTATGGGGAAATTTTTCTGTGTTCGAGTATTTGTTTTTGTTTTGGGTTCTTGAAATATGCGTAATTAACATTATTGTTAATCCTTTCGAATTTGTGTTTATGGATTCAAATTTGGAATTGTAACCACGAAACTTTTTAGTTGGTATTGAACAATCCACTTCATTTTAATTTGGTGGATAATTGTTTCATTGGTAATCATACCACATCTCCTTATTTTTATAATGATAATTGATTTATTTAACTATAAGACAAGTCGCACTTAGCTTCTTCAAACAAATCGGGACTTATTTAGCAATGAATTTTCAATTTTATTTCTTCGGTTAGTTCAATGAACTTTAAAAGACACATGAATTGAAGACTTGTGTGTTATAAGTCAACGAGACGGCAAACTATCAACACAACAAAACCATAGGTCAAAAATTCAAAGACGAAAACTGACAAAGTTCCTGACTTTTGACATAAACTTGTGTTTTGTGTGTCGCAATTTGTTATATATTGAGTAAAAAAATGGATAGAGAAGAACATGAACATAAGAACGTCTCATATTGAGTAAAAAAAATGGATAGAGAAGAACGAGAACATAAAAACGTCTCGTGCGCTTTATTTACACAATTGTATGGGTAAAACAGTCAACAATGATCATGGATACCATGCAGGTAATTGCACAAGTCAGTGTACTCGAGATCGTTCACACACAAAAACAAAAAACAACACATAAGTCAAGATGTTCATGTACATTTCTAGAAAAAAAAAATATTAAAGTAGTCTTAAATATATTCTCGTTATTTTTATCAAATAATGCAAACAACCTGACATAAAGGATGATATCCTGAATCCTGCTTACCACACCAATACATATTAGTAATGTAAACAACCTGACATAAAGGATGATATCCTGGATCCTGCTTACCACAACAATACATATTAGTAATGTAAACACTCTGACATAAAGGATGATATCCTGAATCCTGCTTACCACAACAATACATATTAGTAATGTAAACAACCTGACATAAAGGATGATATCCTGGATCCTGCTTACCACAACAATACATATTAGTAATGTAAACAACCTGACATTAAGGATGATATCCTGGATCCTGCTTACCACAACAATACATATTAGTAATGTAAACAACCTGACATAAAGGATGATATCCTGAATCCTGCTTACCACAACAATACATATTAACGTCTTCAGTAACTGGTTTTGACTAGTTTCACATAACATATTTGGTCACTTAAAAGGTATCTTTACAATATTAAGGAGACGTGGTTTGATTGGTAAAAAGATAACTTTCCACAAAAGGACAGTCATGTGAACAGCTACAGGTTATCTTGCCGTACGGCCTTCAACAATGAGCAAATATCATACTGTATTATGCTATAAAAGGCACTGGGAAGGGAAAATGTGGAACAATTAAAAAAAAAAAAAACATCAATCTGATTTAAATAACATCAATACATGAAAAAAGAATGATCAAAAGACAGAAACAAATACTGGATGACAGGCGGATCAAACCGGGCACATAAATGATGTGATGTGGCATGTTTATTTGGATTTAACCCTCGCCTGGTATAACAGCAAAATATAAGTTCAAATTGTAGAATCAGTTTTGCAAGGGGTCGACTCATTAGATAGCTACTAAACATTTAAAAAAACATACAAAATTAGCTTACAAAAAGGCAAAAGGCAAAATATCGACATAAGAGTACTCGCAATCACAGAAAACCTAGTTCAACGCCCAAATTTAAAATGACAAGTTAAACATGTATTTTTAAGACAATGGATCAATCAGTACACCTCCAAAGGATTCAGAAATATGTAATATGCAATCTGATAAAATCCCAATTCTATAAAGAGAATTCATGATGTATCATTTAACCAAAATTTAATGACAAAAAGTCCTTCAAAAACTGTTATTATTTTTTCCATTTTGATATTTTTAATGTCGTAGGAGTCCTTGTTTTAGGTCATTAATAATATGATTTTAAAATAGTTTGCCATGAACGACAGACGACGGACACCAAGTGATTAGAAACATCACCACAACAAACATCTTAAACAGCCTTTTTATCACGAATAGTTTTTAAATAAATATTTTGGAAAACATAAATCTATTGTCAGGCCATATGTGTGAGTCGTAAAATGACTATGTCCTAATACATGTTTAAAATTTTGTATGTGTTGATCATGTTTATATAATGTTTCTGGTAGGCAGTGATCTATTTTTCAATTGACAATGGGCTAACAAGTATTTTTAGTAAACTCCTCATCTTCACATGTACATTTTTTTTATTAATGTTGTGGTGAAATTGGGGGCAATACTTATACAAGATGACCAACTATGATACAAAAAGTCATGTTTAAAAATAATACAGTAACTGTTGTAACATTATTTTCCCCAGGGAGAGTGTGAATCATGTTCTTGATCGTAATACACGTGCACTTGTTATCTACCATTTCTTACCTTTTTTAATACGAATTCAACGTAACCTGGTAAGTAAATATTTTAAGTGAATTACTTATATTTGATGTGGTGGAGAGTTGTCTCATTGGCAATCATACTAAATCTTATTTATAAACAAGATAAGTATTGTAATATAGCAGATTATGAAACCTGATGAATGTGGGAAATACGTGGAAGAAATATATACAAGAAGTAATTGTATCTAGCACTTTTCACTCTCTGCTTGAAATGCACGAAAAATTTTACTGTGAAAAAAAGGTACGTTTGAGATGCAGTTAAAATAAACTATATTTTAACTTTCAGCTTCAAGAACTTCATTCATATTAGAATGCGAGTAGAAAAACTGAGAAATAGAAAATGTATTCAAAATTATGTTTACCGAAGTGCGTGTGTTTGGTGTAAATTTTTTGGGTTTCCTATGTTGCTCGCAAAAAGAAGCAACATGATGTGTCAAGTTTTAAGTTTTGATAATATATTTTGAGGCCGGTTGAGACGTTTAGAATTTTATGATTTCTATTTTTATTTGTTTTAGTTGTAAAAAAATGTAGGACAAAGCGGCATAACCTCAAAGACCTTGCTGGTTATGTTTAAATTTACTTCTATTGTTGTTGTTCTCTTTGTTACAGGTACATGCATGTACCCATAAAAGAAAAAAAGTGAACGTCCATTATTTTCAAAATTGGAAGAGTATAATACGGTTTGAATTAACATTTGGAATTTTTATTCAGATAGTTATTTATCAACATCACTTATTATCCTTTTTTGAAATTTTGAAATTCAGTTGGAATGCCAACTATATTGGTTAAACTTATATGATTTATATCTGACCTTATGACTATCGTATAAAAAATCTAGACGTTGTTTTTTTTAAACAAATGCAATGTTAAATTATCTCTCATTCAAAAGTTCAAACAATAATTAAACAGATCATCTGTAATGATATATTCATTATAATTTCTCGACAGCTTGCTTCTCGTCCGTCATTCGCCGATCTTTAGCGGTTGTTGAGTATTTGAGAGAGAGAAACCACATCCTATCAGAAACCAGTGAGTCAAGGAATCCAATCTTTGTCACAATAAGCCTTTGGTGATGCAGTTTCACAATTAATTTCATGGAAATTAATCAAAATGACACAAAATGCTTTTCAAACCCCAACATTTTTTTCTTTTTATTTTCTTTTCATGTATAATGAACCCCTATTAAGATCAAAAGACTTACATAGTCAAATAAAATTGTACACATGTCATAAGTGCATGTTGGGAGATTCATGCTTCATTGGGCCTCTAGTTTGCTTTCTATTATTTTTATTATAAATATTTTGTATCATTTTCTCTTTTAAGTAACATCATACATTTTCAAATAGAATGGGTGTGGGATGGAGTTATGACAGCTGCTGTAATTATGACAACAAAAGATCACACGGTAGGCTGTTATATATTTTCACACTTTTCATTTATCAACAAAGATGACCTGTTTTAGATAGGTAGAAATTGTAATTTTGCAATACCATTTCAATATTTGATGATAAGGATATCATCATCTGGACGGAACACACCACATGATCATAGTTCCACTACAGTCTCGGAAGTTGATAATTAAGAAATTTGGGTTGATTGAAAGTCTTAATTGGAGACGAAATTTGGTTGATTGATTGATTGATTGGTGTTTAACATCACTTTAAGCACTATTGTACTAATTGGTGGCGGTCACTTTTTATTGGAGGAGGAAGCCGGAGTGCCCAGAGAGACCCACCGACCTTCGGTAGGAAACTGACAATCCTAGTCAATTAATATTGGAGTCGAGCGCACCTGCCACGTGCGGGAATCGAACTCACAACCTCAGTGTTGACAGGCTATTTATACAGTAGTTCAATTACTTAGACCTCTCGACCACCGAGGCCCCAGGAGACGACATTTGCAGTACCTTCATCGATATATACATGTAATAAATAGCGCAGTCCCATAGTGCAATGAAAGTTTTAGGTAAATCAAAATATTCTACTATTCTAGGTCAGAACTATGTCCAACAAAGCGCATTTCAAGTAGAAAGTTACTCCTTGACAGAATGTACTAGAAACCGAACAAGAGGTAAATTCTTATTATTGAAATTCGACAAAAATCAAAACATGATAAAATAAGGAAAATAAAAAGAAAACAGAATTAAGAACCAATAAGTGAATATATACGTGGTGTTATTTCAAAATGATCGATTGAAAATTGGAAAGTAATTGTCAGTTACTAAATCAGCACGCTCACGCTGCTAAGTCCATATAATTGATACATCAATATTTCGTATTGCTTAATGAAAGGAAAATTTCATTGCGTCTTCAAACCCTGAAATAATCTTATCCGAATATGGGAAAATCATAACATATAGAAATGAATATTACGTGATAAAGAAAACATGAACAATGGTTCATTCTTGCGATTTTCAAATGCAATATATAGGTAGCATCCAACAAAATTATTTGAATGATGTCATCCTGTTACACCGTTCGTATCTGTATATTTTTAATTAAAAGCCTTTTTCATATAGAGGCAATACTACGATTTCACGTCATATAGAGGCAATAGTATGATTTCACGTCACATAGAGATATAAAAACATCTTGTAGATCACCATCTGCGGGCTCTTGACTATGTATGACACACGGTGGTGGCTTTAAAGCGAAGGCAAATCGTTCAAGGTAAATAAAAGTGTAGAATTTTCTTTTTTGGGAATTGTTTGCCCCGAATCCTATATTGTACGGAAGGTACCGATCAATTATCAATCTCCCTCAATCAAAAGCAGACGCCCCTAATGCTTCGTTTTCTCAAACAGTTCTCGTCAGTTTTTATGGTCACATAATTATTTTGACACTTTGGGATGCAAGTTTCTAGATAAAAACTCTTTTTAGGGAGCCGATTCTGTTTATTTTCATTTTAAGCGGCGGTGAATGTTCAAGCGATGTCCTTCTTGATTCTGTTTATCCCATGTATTATAATTTGCTGACGAATGACAGCAGATTTTTGACTTACGTCGATGAGACAGCATTCGAACAACACAACAAAAAACAAAACAATCCTGTAGGTCATTATGCGGTATTCAACAAAAGACAAGTCCACTGTCATTATCTTATTTGTTATGCTTTACAAAACGTGTTTAGCGTATAAATTCAAGTTAAACGCAGTTGGTTATACGTATACTCTTATATGATGTATCTTAATAAGATGTTTTTAATTATTAATGTAGGATATGTTCTAATATTCATGAACACAAAATTCCGGACATTTGGAACGTTGAATTCTGGAGGACAACACGGTAAGATTGACTTACAAAGGTTTTAGGCATATCTCTTTTATTAGATAATTTCATAAATAGATTACAGGAACTAAACAAATGCATAGTATCGAAAATTTTGACCGACAAATATCTTACACACGTATAAAGAAAGTATACAAACGTTTGTACTGGTATAATATTCAATACAAGCAGACAAACATCTAAGTTGGAACTGTTGAAATCACGTGACACAAACGCAACTTATCAACGCCCTATATACAGCTTAAGATCAGTTGATCACCAGAGACTTATACCGACAGGAACTGAGACAGACAAGTTATTCCATCTCTGACTAGGTGCAACCGTTGAAATGTAACGGATTCAATGTGAAAAGAAATAAATTGAAGAAAACAGGGAAACAATCAGAGCTAATAGATAAAGACCAATAACAAACAGAAAAACAATAAAAATAGTGTTTAATGGAAACACGAACTCCGATTTAAGTATGAGGTGACTACTTGAGTGGTGTGTAGTGTATATGGCTCCTCGTGGTAAAGTTGAGAACCAAAACTTTGCTACCTGTAACATTGATAACCCGTTACTATCGTTCGTGTTGCAGGCAGTAAAATTTTAGACGTGATAATGTCAACTGTATCCTTAAAACTATCTGCTTCCGGGATTTTCTTATTTCAAAATACTTTCTCGTGATCTCAAGATGTTAACTATATAATTCAACACATCTCACGTTATTTCGCCATAACATAATGTATCTAGAAAATACAAGAAAATAGCATACGTTGTTTCAAAAACAGTTTTATGTTTTGACGGGATGAATATCTTGTTGCCTTTGATATTTATCATGGTTCCATTACTCATATTCATGCAAGAAACAATAAAATCATTCTTTCCCTTTTTATTTTCAGATAAACTATGTGAATTATTCGAAGGAGTCAATTTTTCTGTAAGAATTTATAGGAACACCAAAGCCAGAGACATTGGGAAACATATATCAGAGTATGCTAATAGGAGCGGAAGTTGTTTTATTACGTTTGTTTCGAGTCACGGAAGTAATGGGAATGTCTGTGGGAGTGATGACAAGTTAGTTAAATTAGAAGATCTTTTTCGCGCTGCCGACACTTCGAAGTTAAAAGGCAAACCAAAGTTATTCTTAATTGATGCTTGCCGAACAGGTAACAATTAAAATGATACATCTATTAATATTTTGTGGTATATAATATTGTATATTATTTGAATTTTTCGATACCTTAATGAGTTAAGTGTTTTTGAATGTGCAGAAGACAAATCACTAAAAAAAACAAAACCAATGGTATTCACTCGCTTCAACTTTTCAACCGAATAATATGAAAATAATGTGGGAATTAGAAAAAATCTGAAGACAATACCATGTTAAAAGGCTTAAGATGCCATTAAAAGAATACAAAATGCAACCAAATCCTACAGTTTATGTTGTGACGTACAGATATAGCAAAGATTCAGCTTTGTTTTGAAGAGCAAATTCATCACAAGCTTTCAAAATGAAAACATAAAATCTGACAAAAAATGATGGTTGGAACATTATGCTTAGTATAAGTTATTGGGAACGTCATGTGGTTTGTCCTCTATGCTTTGCTAAATATGAACTTTTAACAGGTTGGATTATAAGAAGAAATCCTTCGTCTATCGTTCCTCCAGAAATTTGTCTTTTCATTTCTTTTAACAAAAGGGTCAAATTTTGAATTTGATGGGCATGCGTGCAAATGGTTTTATCAGATTTTAAGCAAACAAGGTTTACTTTTCGAATAATAACCATTTGAAATCATGGAATTATGCTCATAGGATATAATTCGATGGATTTAAGTGACTTATTCTTTTGTCGTTTCAGTATACAAGGAATAGAATACAATATAAGCGAGGCTTTCAGAACCATGTATTATTTGTGGTCTTTGTTTGTTTGTGTGGTGGTTCTTTTTCTAGTGAGTAGATTGTTTGTTGAAAGGGTGAAATGTTGTGCTTTCCATTTTTTTGTGATTCCTGTTTCATAATATACATACATGCTTTATTCTAAATCCTTGTAGTATAGAATTTTGTTTTTGGACTGAGAATATGTTTTCCCAACATTTCTCATTCAGTTTGTTTCATTGAATAGGTAGGAGGGATTCACGGGTTCCAGAACTTTTACATTCAGACTTTTTTGTTGGATATTCATGCCTCAGCAGGCAGACAAGCTATGACAAAGGTGGAGGAATATATTTCAAACAATTGATAGAAGTTTATAAGGACGGACTGAAGTATCCAGCAAGGGATCATGGCAAAGAGTAAATTAATTTAGTATATTATTTTGTTTAGATTGCAAATTTTAATTTAAAAATGATATTTTTTAATTGTTATCAATGATTAGCTATAGGTGAATGAAGAAAGGACAAAAAGCTGAGTGGTTAGGCAGCATGCCACTTCAGTTTGTCACCACTTTGATAAGACTCCGAGACGTGTTCCAACTGTTTATAAATATGTCTAAATTAAATATTCAATCTACTTACATTCATGAAATTATGTATTTGTTGAATTTCATTTATGTAATTAACAACCTTTTTGAAATAGGATTGATTGATTGATTGGTGTTTAACGTCACTTTCAGTACTATTGTGCAATTCGTGGCGGTCAGTTTTTGTTTTTGTGAAGGATGCTGGAGTGCCTGGAGAGAAAGTCGAATATGAAAAGATAAGATAATTCCAAGAGATAAGTTTCTATGCCTACATTATTTTGGCAAAAAGTCAATAAATGAAGCGGATTTTATCATTTATTTTTTTTTCCGGATTGTTTTGTTGTAAACGCTCAACAAAATTTAAAGATTAGCATCAATTAGAAAGTGAAATTGGAAATTTGAATTAAAAAAAAGTACACATGCATTTATTTTGTTCTTTTAATAATTTTACCTTATTTTCTAGGCGGACCGTTCTCCATTGGCAAGATAAAATCAGTGCCCTGTTATGCAGAGATGGACAACAACAATGCATGTCAAAATCTAGCTTGACAAAGAAGTTGTTTTTACACATAAGATAGTAATAAAACAGAATAAATTTAAACTTACAAATCACTCGGGCAATGTTGTTCTTTACGGAGCCCTGTTGGTCTCACACAGATTATAAAGTGTCTTTTAAAGTCCTGCGCTGAAGATGTGTAAAGTCTAGCGCTGGAGATGTAAAGTCTAGCGCTAGAGATGTAAAGTCTAGCGCTGGAGATGTAAAGTCCAGCGCTGAAGATGTAAAGTCTAGCGCTGGAGATGTAAAGTCCAGCGCTGGAGATCTAAAGTCTAGCGCTGGAGATGTAAAGTCAAGCGCTGAAGATGTAAAGTCTAGCGCTGGGGATGTAAAGTCTAGCGCTGGAGATGTGTAAAATCTAGCGCTGGAGATATGCAAAGTCTAGCGCTGGAGATGTAAAGTCAAGCGCTGGAGATGTAAAATCAAGCGCTGGAGATGTAAAGTCTAGCGCTGAAGATGTAAAATCAAGCGCTGGAGATGTAAAGTCAAGCGCTGAAGATGTAAAGTCAAGCGCTAAAGATGTAAAGTCTAGCGCTGAAGATGTAAAGTCAAGCGCTGAAGATGTAAAGTCTAACGCTGGAGATGTAAAGTCAAGCGCTGGAAATGTAAAGTCCAGCGCTGGAGATGTAAAGTCAAGCGCTGGAGATGTAAAGTCTAGCGCTGGAGATGTAAAATCAATCGAATTATACGAATTCCAAACAAATAGAAATTAGAAAATTCAGCTAAGAGTCAGAAACTCACTAAAATAAGTAAGAAAATACCAAAACGATAATAAAAAAACTTATAGACAGAAAGAAGAAATGAAGCACACTATGACCAGCAAACAACCATTAGATAGCTGATAGTGGGGGCATAAAGAACCCTCAGATAGCTGAAAGTGAGCATAAAGAACCCTCAGATAGCTGATAGTGGGCATAAAGAACCCTCAGATAGCTGATAGTGGGCATAAAGAACCCCTAGATACCTAATAGTGGGCATAAGGAACCCTTAGCTAGCTGAAAATGGGCATAAAGAACCCTTAGATAGCTGATAGTGGACATAAAGAACCCTTAGATAACTGATAGTGGGCATAAAGAACCCTTAGATAGTTGATAGTGGGCATTACGCAGCAAAGAACAAAACACCCTCAGATAGCTGATAGTGGGCATAACGAACCCTCAGATAGCTGATAGTGGGAATAATGAACCCCTAGATAGCTAAAAGTGGGCATAACGAACCCTCAGATAGCTGATAGTGGGCATAAAGAACCCTCAGATAGCTGATAGTGGGCATAAAGAACCCCTAGATACATAATAGTGGGCATAAGGAACCCTAAGCTAGCTGAAAATGGGCATAAAGAACCCTTAGATAGCTGATAGTGGACATAAAGAACCCTTAGATAACTGATAGTGGGCATAAAGAACCCTTAGATAGTTGATAGTGGGCATTACGCAGCAAAGAACAAAACACCCTCAGATAGCTGATAGTGGGCATAACGAACCCTCAGATAGCTGATAGTGGGAATAATGAACCCCTAGATAGCTAAAAGTGGGCATAACGAACCCTCAGATAGCTGATAGTGGGCATAGCGAACCCCTAGATAGCTAATATTGGGCATAAGGAACCCTTAGCTAGCTGAAAATGGGCATAAAGAACCCTTAGATAGCTGATAGTGGACATAAAAAACCCATAGATAGCTGATAGTGGGCATAACGAACCATTAGATAGCTGATAGTGAATAGAATAGAATAAAGGTTGGCGAACTGGCGACGTTGGCGAACAGTATTGATTTCATAAAGGTTGGCGACGTTGGCGAACAGTAATGATTTCGTAAATGTTGGCGACGTTGGCGAATAGTAATGATTTCGTAAATGATGGCGACGTTGGCGACGTTGGCGAACAGTAATGATTTTGTAAATGTTGGCGACGTTGGCGACGTTGGCGAACATTCACACAATCCTGTACCAGAATGCAGCTTTCTAAAGGTTCGTTATGCCCACTTTCAGCTATCTGAGGGTTCTTTATGCCCACTATCAGCTATCTGAGGGTTCTTTATGCTCACTATCAGCTATCTGAGGGTTCTTTATGCCCCCACTATCAGCTATATAATGGTTGTGTGCTGGTCATAGTGTGCTTCATTTCTTCTTCCGTCTATAAATTTTTTTATTCTCGTTTTGGTATTTTCTTACTTATTTTAGTGAGTTTCTGACTCTTTGCTGAATTTTCTAATTTCTTTTTGTTTGGAATTCGTATAATTCGATTGATTTTACATCTCCAGCGCTAGACTTTACATCTCCAGCGCTTGACTTTACATCTCCAGCGCTGGACTTTACATCTTCAGCGCTGGACTTTACATCTTCAGCGCTGGACTTTACATCTTCAGCGCTGGACTTTACATCTCCAGCGCTAGACTTTACATCTTCAGCGCTTGACTTTACATCTCCAGCGCTAGACTTTAGATCTCCAGCGCTGGACTTTACATCTCCAGCGCTAGACTTTACATCTTCAGCGCTGGACTTTACATCTCCAGCGCTAGACTTTACATCTCTAGCGCTAGACTTTACATCTCCAGCGCTAGACTTTACACATCTTCAGCGCAGGACTTTAAAAGACACTTTATAATCTGTGTGAGACCAACAGGGCTCCGTAGTTCTTAGATGAATATTATTATTCTGTTTCTTATACATCCTTGGTATTTAAATAATTGTATTCGACTTTGATGGTAAGGAGATAAATCCTGAAAGGCGCTTCGGACGCATGTAATTTATAAAGTGTTTTTATTTTTCAAGGTTTGTTTTAGTCACATACATAGCTCCTCACATATTCAGGTATTTAAACATTCTTGTCTTTTAAATTTTGGGTTTTTAGCGTTCCTTATGAAGGTAAATCCAGAAAAGTGCTTCGGACGCACCAAATTTATAAAGTGTTGCTTTAATTTTGCCAAAAATTTAAAAAGTACTAAAAGTACACACAACCGCTGTATTTTCCTTCGTGCAATTTCTCTGAAGCGAAAACAAAAAACCCTCATATTCGTTGACAAGGGGTTCCATGTAGTGATACCGGTGTATAGACTGCAGATGACGATCCTGAATATAAACATATCGTATAAGCCGGATGTTACTATTAATAGAATGCTAGTACATGTACATGAGGGTGTGGATGGGGTTTTACAGAACAGAGAATAATGGGCAGAAAATATAAAGAACAGAGAAAAATGGACCGAAAAAACAAAGAATAGAGAATAATGAGGTGCTTATATATAAAGAATAGAGAATAATGAGGTGCTAATATATAAAGAATAGAGAATAATAGGTAAAAAGTATAAAGAATAGAGAAAAACGGCATGAAAATTAAAGAATACAGAAATGAAAGACCCCCATCCAGACCATCGTACATTCTATTTTATTTCCTACAACTTCTATATACATAAAACGAATTAAACGTTATGTTTTATATTTAAAGCATCTTATATGTTCAACAAGTCAAAATCTTAACAAACAGTGGGTGATATGGTCAATTTGTCATCTGTTAAATATAAAAAATAAGTAGATGTGGTATGATTGCCAATGAGACAACTACCCACCAAATTTCAAATGAAGTCGATGTAAGCAATTATAGGCAACCATACGGCATTTAATAATGAGAAAAACCCATACCGTATAGTCGGCTTTAAAAGGCCCTGACATGAAAAATATGAAACAATTCAACTGAGAAAACTAACGGCCTAATCTATATAACAAAACAATTTATGAAAAACAGATACGACAGACTTGAACCAACGACAACCACTGAACTACAGGCTCCTGACTTGGGACAGGCATATACAGCATATGGTGGGTTTAAACATGTCTGTGAGCGCTTAACCCTCCCCCTAACCTGAGACAGTGGTGTTACAGCACAACAAAAAAGCAAACTATAAAAATCAGTTGAAAATGGCTTAACTCATCAGATCGATAGAAAGAAGAAAACATCTAACAAAAGCACAGACCGGACATGGCAGGGTATTTATACATCCCCAACAACAAAAAAGACACAAAGTACAAATCTGAGAATACTCGCATTTACTGACAGCTAGTTCAATGCCAATAACAACTAATAAAAAAATCCTGTATCAAACTAAAATATCAATCAGTACACATCCAGCATCCAATGGATTTAGTGTAAAGACGTCATTAACAGTCAGAGAAAAACATAACCTTGTGCAATGCCAAAACATAGGTATCGACAGATTGTAGTACCGTGAAAGTACATATGTGTTTAACAATAATATTCAGTAAAGTTTTAATTTACTGACAACAAAATCAATATTTATACCAATAAAACAATATTCAAAGATCTAATTACAGTGCTGAATTAGCAACCTTAAGTTAACCCGGATCGTTTCTAAATTTCCGGGCTCGGCAAACAACATCACCGTAAAATTTAGGATGTGCTATTCCGTTTGAAATAAGTTTTCTACAGGTACAGCCAAACTTGCAAACCGAATATTTGTATCTATGGAAGAATTTAGTAAGGTTTTACGTAATTTGTGGTAACGAAATCCCTGACTTAATAATATACCAGTAATACATATATTCCGCTCATTGAAATTCAGCTGTGTATATAGTTTTCTGGAAAAGGTGTAAATATTCTTAATAGAGAATTGTCTCATTGGCAAAAAAATCAATTCTTCTTACTTTTTTAATATGTTGTGGATGATAAATACAGACAGTTGACTAATATGCTTTGGATGATAAATAGAGACTCAGACGACCAATATGCTTTAGATGATAAAGACAAAGAGTGGACTAATATTCTCTGGATGATAAAGACAAAGAGTGAACTAATATGCTCTAGATGATAAAAACAGAGAGTGGACTAATATGTTCTGGACGATAAAGACAAAGAGTGATCTAATATGCTCTGGATGATAAAGATAGAGAGTTGACTAATATGATCTGGATGATAAAGACAAAGAGCGGACTAATATGTTCTGGATTATAAAGACAAAGAGTAGACTAATATGATCTGGATGATAAAGACAGAACTCATACCACATCTTCTTATTTTTATAATATGCTTTCCATGATAAAAACAGAAAGTAGACTAATATGCTCTGGATGGTACAGACAGAGAGTGGACTAATATGC